TTAAGCCTCGTTTAAATACTGGCTCCCTTTCATGGTCGAATGAATGTTGCCAACTAAAACACGTAAAAATAATATTAAAGTAGCCAAGACATAGCCAAATATTGTAGCGCCACATCACTAGCGGACATTTGAAATTTGCCGACCAGGACGGTCGGTTAACCGATGTGTCGGTTAATCGGAGGTCGGATAATCGAGGCTCTACTGTATATACTTTCTTACTACGTTTATTCATATGTAATAATAAAAATACATATATATACGGTCTTGCATTTTTATTAGTCATGTTTTTTTTCCGTTTATGGGGTTAAAGAATCTGTCCAATGTCGATTGCTTTTCTGCCTTCATGATTTTTCAGAAGTAATTAATAGCATTGTAATTGTAGAGATCCCTAGGCCTATTAACCTCAACCTGGTTTGGATGTCATTTTAAAACCGTTGTTCTGACATCCTCCCATTTTTTCAAAAGATTTTTAATAGCAGATATCGGCATAAATCCGCATTTTCAGAAGAAAACGCAAAAGAATTGTTTCTGTCATAAACATTACAAGGGCTGGAATTAGAAGGGAGTGTTTCAAAGTTCGGGGAAATACTACAGTAGCGTACCGTAGTGGGGGCGGCAGGGGCGGCCCGCCCCGGCGGCACTTTTTAGTTGGCGGCAAAATTTCACAATAAATAATAATAATATCTTGTAAAAATTTGAAACATCTTAATCTATAGTTGCATCGCGCCTACGATAGTGGTATCGTCCGGATAGTCCGGGAATCGGCTCGCCGGGTGAACTAGTAACTTTTTCATCCGTGGAATTGCTGCGAGACCTGTTCACCTTTTTTTTGCTTGTACGATTCATTCGCGTTCATATATACCACTAATAATATCCAATAGAACTATTTTAAACAGGTCGCTGCACTACCACCGAATTTTTCATTGCTTGTTCTGTGAAAAACTGAATTTTGGTCTTTTAAATTGAAATACCTAAATAGGGGGTCCCGAAATTTTCCTCCGTCCTGGGCGGCTGACACCCACGGTACGCCACTGAAATACTATCCGATCAGTATATACTGGGTAGAACGTCGATGTCGCGTCTCCCGGCGCTCCGAAAAGTTTCAAATTGTTGCCTGAACACAAAGGAAGACCAATCGGTACTCGTTAGTTTACGTCGCTCCTTCTTGTGTTTGTTCAGTCAAGCGTTCGTTACCCGAACGTGTGTTCGTTGTCTGATCATAAAAATCTTTCGCGAGTGTTCGTTATCCGATTTGTTCGTTAACCGATCACCCACTGTAGTGGTTAAAATAATTAAGCGATTAGGGAATTGGGGACATAAATAAAACCCGATGAAAGAGCTGGAATTTTACTTAAACAAAAGCTTAACCAAACCAATCTCTAGCCGAGTACGGTGGGGACTGATTTCTTCGTATTATTAGACGTAATAAAGACAGAAATTTTTCCGGTTCAACGAGTGATCGAAAAGTTGTAAATTTTGGAAATTTCCGTGGACACCTGGTCCTAAAACTAATTCGTTTTAGGACCAGGTGTCCACGGACTATTAAATTTAACGAATGACTATTGAGTTTAACAAATTTAGATTTTTACAACTATGGTGAGAAACGGTTAAAATTTACAACCCTGTAGCGTCCTTTGAGATATACTAGTCATGCGACAAAGAACCATTTGACATTAACCTGTATCAGCACCCTCGGAATTTGGCTTGCATGCACGCACTGCACACCTACCAGCAGGGCCGGATTAACCCACTTTGGGGCCCTAGACATTTTCTTCTTCCGGGTCCCCTCCCGGCTCTTTCAATTAATAAATCTTGTTACTATTATCAATATTTCTATTAAATTGCATATGGACAGCTGCTTTATAAAAAATAAAAGCAAAATTATTTAACAATATTTCACAGGATTTAAGAATGCATATACAGTAGAACCTCGATTATCCGGACTAATTGGAGATGAAGGCAGTCCGAATACGGAAAAATCGGATAATCGAAAGAAATACTTTAATTTGTCATTTAATAATAATACAACACGTTTTCTTTTCGATGACATATCGCTAATATTAAAAATAAATACTGTATTTAAATCGTGATCAAATTTTCAAGAAACAAATGTTCGTATTGAATTTGTACTACTACTGACCAACGCTAACAGACTAGCTATTGTTTAAAAGGCCCTCTGGCGGCTCAAGAATACGGATTTTATAAAATAAAAAGCAGTTGAAACTGCATTTTTATGAATAAAAATTTAACAAACTATTTATCGTTTTATGACGAGTAAAATTTTTTCGTCGCGTTATCGGCTTTTAAGTAATGCATAAACCTTCGAGGTACGAGGCCCTTCGGACCGCGAGGCGTAGGCGGTGGCCCACGTTGCACGTGCCTTACGCCGCCTTAGTTATAGAAATGATGTAATTTGAGTATAAATTATTTATAAATACGTATGTCAAGTTATATTTTTATTACGACGCAAAATATATTAAAAGAGTTTACGAACACTGTGCCGGGTGAGACATTGTTGAAACAAAAAATGTTATGCATTCCATCACGTACATAAACCGTGTCGTAATTCGCCAAGTGCAAATCAGCAAATTCGTAAAATTTTTGTTTATTTTGAACAATCCGGATAATCGAAAATCCGGATAATAGAGGTCCGGATAATCGAGGTTCTACTGTAGTTAATATTATTCTTATCGCTATAAAGAATATTCTAAATTATTGGGAGTTTTACTTTCAATAAGAAGAAACATAAGAATACGAGGGTTGTTCAAAAAGTTCCCGAACTTTATTTATTACCAAAAAAATTACTTCACATACAATTTATTTGTCGGGGTCCCCTTCAAAGTAGTCTCCTCCGCAGCATATACACTTCCACTATTTGAAACAGTCTTGGAACACCTTTTCCGTAATGTTCATAAGCTCCTCCAAAGTTCGGGCTGTTTTCGCCTCAGGCGATTCATAACACCAGGAAGTACTCCGTGTTGACTGTCTGGCCTGTAAGTAGGTATTCGTGATGCACAACCCTCTATGCATCGAAAACAAAACAGTCAACATCACCTTAACATTTCAGCGAACTTGTCGAGCTTTTTGGGGCGGGGGGCTGTTTCACCCACCCGTGGGAAGTTTCCTGAAGGATTTTCCGAGTTTCACACAGAATTTTACAGAACAACGCTGTTCTTTCAAAGAGCTGATTTCCGCGGATCCGATTTTTCGCCGAACCCCACAAACACCATTTCACATAAACGGCCGTAACTAATCACCAAAACAAGATATCAACAAACGGGTTGAAGGAGGTTACTCGGGAGGTTTCCGCGGACACGACGCCTCCAAGCGAATTAAAAAATAACTGGAGGCGGGCTATTCAAAAAGTTCCCGAACTTTTTGAACAACCCACGTACATTTTCTTTAGATTTTAGAATTCCCAATAACCATATAAAAAGTAATATATTTTTGTTTATTGTATACTGTTGTCCAACAGAAAAGTAAAACTATCTTATTTACAAATCTTTTCAAAATAGAGTTTGACCGGGCCCTAGACATTTGTCTCATTTGTCTATGCGATGATCATGCCCTGCCTACCAGGACCGTCTCTGATTCCATCCATGAGCCACTCGAAGGGAGCAATTTTAACTAAGTGGATTGTTTTAAGATTTAGAAAGTAAAGAATACTTTGTTATTTTTATGTACGTTTCTTTACAAAACTATATTTATATATAATTTTCTTTAATACAATATTAATATAATTGAAGAATATTTTGTACCAGGTATATATATCTACCACCAGAGTCGGTAGATTAATCTACTGACTCTGATACCAAGTAAAATTTTATTTTTAATTGTAGCCCTTATATCGTGGCTAGTGATTCAAAATGTACCGTAATGGCGATATTGAAAATTTATTTTAAAGTTTTGGCTCAAGACCATATAACGAAAAAGAAAACATTATTAAAAGATAAACCCCAATGCCTAAATTAAATATAAATACGTCAACAAAAAATTTGTTGGACATTTTCACGATAAAATTTATGAAAGCATAAAATGGCTTTGTGAATGCATAAAAATGCATCCACAAAGCCATTTTATTGCAAAAATTGTTTTGTTGGCCTTGCCTACTATTTTCAAATAAAATTAGTGTGGAATAAGAATGGCTTTTGACGATTTAAATAATTTGAGTAAATCTCTCATCGATTCTTTCGTAAAATTGAAGCAATTTAGAAATCAAAATAGAATAGAATTTAACATTAGTAAACAATATAAAATAAATATTGAAAATTATAACAAAGTTACGACTAATAGATATATTACATCTAAATTAGTAATGTTATCAAAGCAAGAATTGGCATTTAGAGGGTATATGGAATCTATTGAATCTAATTTTACAGAGGTAATTATATTAAACTTGCTTAAATGTGTTAGATAATCTATTAATTAAAAATACATTTAGAGAAGTCTGCGGATTTTACTAGCTTATCGAACAAACGAATACGAATGGAACCTGACGTGCAATTAACTGATTGCCCCTGGAAGTCGGCTTCTTACAGAAAAAGCTTCCCTATCATCAAATGTCACGGCACGCCACTGATAAACACCCCAATCTTTCTTCAGCTGTACTTCAATAGTTAATCGTTTTCAATATATTTCTTATAAAATATGAAAAACCATTTATTTCTAAAATTTTATTTTACCAATAATCACAAAAACTTTTGGCCTTTAAAAAATATTTCTATTGAAATTTTTATTGTAATACAAAGATCATACTGGTAATATGGACAGGGTGTTAATTTAAAATTTGGAAAAAACTTTCCACTAGTAGCATTAAAACTGTACATCTATTTAGCCTTTAATTCAAAACAACTATTATAAACAGTATACAAACTATATTATAAAAATTAAAAGTTGCTTTTAATTCTTTGATTCAAATACAAAAAATTTATGAAAATCTTATAGGAAGAAAAATTATCTAATAAATACAAAGTAATTAATAAATTAATCAGTTTCGTTTTAATAATAGTTTTATTTGGCTTCTCATCATTCACAACTATGTACAGAATAAAAATGGCACATTTATCATATTCACTTGTAAATTTGTAATTTTTTTTTTAAAGTTTAGATTTGTAAATATGTTTTATAATATACACATACAAAAACTTCTATTTGGTGGAAATAACAAAGTTTAAATCTATAAAAAAGAATTTTCAATGTAAATGCTAACAAACTAAGGTAAACATTTCATTCTCATATTCCCATTTTTACTTCAAAACTCATAATCTCAAAAATTTCAAATGAGTATATGATCCATCCAAAAATTTGTTGTAAAAACAAATGCATAAAAAGTATAATTTTTAATTATAAAAATAAAAATATTTTTGGCAACACAGTCTTAAAAACTCTCTATTTTACTATATTTAAAAATAAAACACATTTAACATGTCATATAAATGTACACATAAATTTTTCTTTTAAATTTCCATGTGCAAAAATACAGTAATTGATTTGTTCTACTGTAAATCACACATTATTAGGATCAGACATTAAAAAAGGTGCAAGTATACTTTAAAATGTGCACAAAAAGCACAATTATTTGTTAGTGAAAATACTATGAAAACTGCACTATGAAGTCAAGGTTTAAAGGTCTACAATTTAAACAGGAATGAAATCATTCATACTATCTCATAACATACAGTATTAAATATAGTAAGAGTACTTTACTCAATTTAATCATTAAATGATATATGGTTAAAGATATATAAACTGTTTACTGTTACATAAAAAAGGCACATTGGTTGCACAAGGGAAAAATGATTGTGCAGCTCTGACTATTATAAATAGGAAGATTTTAAAGATAAAACATTGCACATAAACAATTATTTTAAATAATATTTCAAAAAATTAAGAATTAAACTATAATATTTCACAATGAATACTTTTGGTTTGGATGGATTCAGTTATGTCATAAAAAGTACTATTTACAACATATACAAATGTTAGTGAGTTTCCATTGCATGTACTTGGGCCTGAGTCAAAACATGACACCCATACTGTGGCACCTCAGTATAAACAACAGTTTGTGATGGATCTCTTGCAATTAAGTGATTTACCATCCAAGGGGCCAGATTTACTGAACTGCTGAAAGGTGCCAGTCCTGGGTTTGAAAAAGGACGAGAAGCCGACGATGATGTGCTACAACTGCTCGTCGAATGTTGAGATACAAGTATTTTAGGATAGTCCCTACCTATTAGAGGTTCGACACATGGCATGTGTTCAGACTCTTCGTGGGTTGTCATTGTCCCATAGCCATTATCACTATCTCCTCCTGGTGGACGACGATAATAGGTGTTTATACGATATGGTGAAAGAGCTGCATTTTCAAAGCTTGCAAGTACAACACTGGAACGGCAAACTGGATTAATTGGCTCTTCACGATGTTCTAAATCATCAAGTTCATTATCAAGTTGTGACATCCTGATAGTTGTACCAGGAGTGGAAGAAATAAAATGAACAGAAGAACTGCGATTTACATGATTGCGATAGCAGTACACTCCTAAAGCCAATACTAAAAAGCATCCCATAATTCCACCAGCTACTGGACCAACTGGTGTACTTTTAATAGTGAAAAATTCTTCTGATGGTAGTCCAATGATCTCATCAGCATATGGGGTTCGTGCACCAAGAATACCTCCAAAACATTTTCTATGTTCTGTACAAAATTTTTTCTTTAATAATGTTAAGCCATCACTATCAATTTGACACCATTCACAGCCAAGAACTCCAAAGCATTCACTTTCAGTTTTGCGAGCATAGCAATGATTTTCAAAACACATTTCTAAAGGATCTAAAATTGCCACGTCAACAACAGGCAAATGAGGTTCCTCTGGAAAATGTGGACAACTTGGATAAATATTTTCTTCCTCCTCCAACTGTCCAGTGCACAAGTTAGTCATTAGTGGACATTCACAAGGACATTCACACTCAGTTTGTTCCATTCGGTGACAATTAAGACAAAGACGATCAATCATGCTACATGGACAAAAAGCAGTAATTGGATCGCAACTTTGATTAACAATGCCAAGGAAAACATTGGTTCCCTGTACGGCAGCAATTTGATACTTTGCACATTGTTCACCATGAACTAGATTTGTTAAAACACCTTGAAGACTAGTATTAAATTGGTAGTATCTTTGTACAGTTCTGTCATTAAAATTATTACAAACTTTTTTTTGTACAAAATCCCTATGATTAAGAATATCATTGGCAACTAATGGTTCTTTGTGTGTAATATGTTGTTGTTCAACAGGACCTCTACCAGCAGGTTCTATTAGATCAGGATGTGCTATTAAATAACCTCGATCGTCTAAAACAAAGCATGTAATTTTTTCTTGTTCACAAACTGGCATGATATCAACTAATAATTTATATAAATATCCCAAAGTAAAATCCATTCCCATGACAGCTTTAACAAAATCTGCTGAATTATGCATTGCAGCAGGTTTACCTTCAAATATTGTATGACTAAGTGTTACAACATATCCAGCCCCTCCAATATCCAAATAAGGAGCTGTAAGAACAACTCTTCCAGGGTATTCCAAAGCTCTAATAAACCAATCTCTTCTTGTTGGATCATATGTTTTGTCAACTAAAGAACCTGGATATGTTTGATATATTCCACTTGGAGTTGCAATATATCTTCTTACTATATATTTAGAGATATCACTTTTCTGCATTCTTTTAATCCATTCTGATGTAATGCGTCCAATAGCCAATACTTCATTACGTACTTCACTTTTTAGACCAGGATTAGCAATTAATTTAATATTATCATTTAGATAAGCCATATAACTTTGAGCAATTTGTTTAGTTTCTTCTTGTGTTAAATATTGAAATGGAGCTTGAAATGCTCCAGCTGAAAGAAACAATGTACTGGCTTCAAGAGTAGATAACTGTTTCATGTGCCGACATAAGGTATGTGGTGGTAACAAATCGAGACGATGATATACAAATGTTGGCTCTGTAGGTACAGATATACTTTTCAATTTTTTTTCTTCTTTATCAGTCTTTATTGTAACTATGCATATTATATAGGGGGTTCCATTTACTTTCTTCCATTTGTAGGAAACTACAGCAAATTTAGGAAAATTTTGTTTCATGCCTAATGAAGATTTTATAAAATTTTGTTCAATCAGAAGTTTTTGTTCTCCTTCAGGTTTATCTAAGATAGCTTGGCGAATGCGCTGAAAGCCAATTCTGTTTTCTAAATGACTAATATCTGTATGCATTGGTTGTTCACTAGCAAATGTTGGACGAGTAAAATATGGATGCATCACAGCTATCCCAGATTCATCTAATAAAAATGCATATTGTCTAGATGACTGACTAAAGTATGTTATATCTTCTGCCAGATCAGCTACAGAAATATCTAATCCAACAACTCCAACCAATTTCTTATTGTGAAAAACTGGCTTACTGATACTAATTACTGTTCCTTTTCCAACAGTATCCCAATGTGGAAGAGAGAAAACTGTAGTAGAATTTGAAGTAACAGAAAATACTGATGTGAAATCACCAATAGTTAAACTCAAATTTTCTATTGTATTGACAGAAATCATTTTACCTTGTTTAATATCATTCTCATCTGACAAATGAATGTCATAATTTTTATAATTTTGGTTTGCAATATCTTGTAAAAATGCTTTTTCATATAAAACAGGTTTACCATCATCAATAACTACATATGTATTAATGACAACTTGATTTCTAATTTTTTTATTTTCTTTTGCAATAATCTCAAGTACTGATCTAGCTTCTGTTAAGGAAGATAACAATCCACGGCTTACATATACAATCAATGCATCAACTTCCTTTGTAATTCCATTTTCATCTTTAGGAAGTGTATGCTGCATCATTTCAAATGCCTTATTAAAACCTAGAATATGATTAGTAGCATCAGGGGTTTTTTGCAAATCATCAATAAATCTGCTGAAATAATATTTTATTTCTTGAGTTGCAGAAGACATTTTTCTAGACATGCAATTATCATACGGATAGCTGACATCTCCAGCAATCCCAATAACTGTTACTTTATCTTTATGAGACAGTAAAGATAAAACATGTTTTCCAATTGCTTTTGCAGTTTTTAACTGCAGAGGACTTAAAGAATTACCATGATCAATGACAATAACTATGTATTTTGTAAAAGGTTGTACTGTTCCTAAATAAATATCTTTATGTCTTGAAGTATCAGCCTGTTTACACATTGTATCTGAAACATATGCAGGATATTCAGAATGTATTCCTTCTGATGATATAAAATACTGCCATTTTATTGTGGAATATTCTTCAAGATTTTGACGGAAAACTTCTGACAAATTAGAACCAGGAGAAAAAAGATTTGGAAACACTGCTATTGGTAATAAATCACATGAAACATCTTTTGATATTTCAATACCAAACTGATCATCATAAACAAGGCCTCTAGTATCCATATCACAGCAAGGAAAATAATTAGATATTGGCATATTTAAATGATGTCTGTACAAATTTTCTATAACAATCTCATTTTTCTCTAAAATTCCTAAAGAATTTTCTATTTTCAAATGTAATCTCTCATACATTTCTTCAATTTGTTTTTCTATATTGCGGGTGGCATCCACAAAAGGTAGAGAATCATAGATTGACTGCATAACTGTAACTCCCAATTCTTGATTGGCAACTCTCCTAAGATGTGAAGAAATAGCTTTTGCTTCATTTCTTAAGTAGTTTCCAGTATCAACATCCTTATCAAAAATATTCTGAATAAATGCATCTTGAACATTCCTAGACAAATTTTGATACTGTTGGGATATTGTTATAGTATGAAGAAAATAAATGCCAAAATAAAGAATTATCCATACATCCATCTCAAGATCTTCATAAATTATACATGTAATCAACCATAATGAACAAATTAATCAATCAATTTGTTAAAGTCTATGAAAAAGCTGCGATTAAACTTTTTTATACAAAAGTCTTCTCATTTCTAATTTGGAAAATTTTCTGATGAAAAAAGTGCACATACTTCCTGGAAAAAAAAAAAGAAAAAGATTAGCAAAATTAATTTATTTTATAAGAAAATCATTTGTATAATTATCTAAAATTTTAAGTATATTGAAACTCTCTACTGATTTTCATGAATATTGAAAATATGCAATAAATTTCATCAGATTATAATAAATTAATATTTATTACAATTTGATGAAATTTTTGTTGAGGAAATTTTACAAAATTTATCAAAATAAGGTCCATCATCATAAATATTACAACTAACAAATATTATTTCTACAGTAATTTGATACTAATGATACATTCAATTAAATAAAAATATTAATTTAAACTAGACACCAACCAATGCCGAATTCTATCAGGCTAAATTACTATAGCCATGTCTAGCCTGATAGAATTCGGCATTGGTTGATGTCTAGCTTTATAGTATATCGGGTTTAGCAATGTTGTTTGCTTATTAATTTAAACATTCAAATATTCACTTGGTATAATTCCATCTCAAAGTTAAAAAAAAATCCAACAATGAGTTGCTTAACTTTCCTGGCAACATTTAAAACTGCAAGTTATACCATCTGTTATAAAAAGTTTTTTATAAAATATCATATTTTTAATTATTATAAAATGGCAAAAAGCTTAATTTTAAGGGAGTTTTATAAAAAAAATTATAAATGCTAACAAATAAAATCATCATTAAATCCAACCCTACTCCAGATAAAGCAAACGACCCCCCCTTCTATCTCCTCACTGCCTTGACTAAGCACCAAAATTTAATATCATCAGTCTCCAATAGACAAACCTCCCTCAAAACTTCAAAAATTTCTGACAAAAACACAAGAATTATTAAGCTTCAAAGTGGGTGAACAAAATTTGGCCTCCCCACACACATACAAACAAACATCAATATATACAGAAAAACCCTATAAATTTTTTGATTTCTCTGCATTTCTAAGTCCTGAGTCCAAAAATGTAAAAATCTTGGAGAGTCATTTTTTTTACCAATTTCTATATTTTCCCTCTGTTATATATGAGGATTGTCCAATTGAAAAGTGGACACATCATATTTCATTGTGCAAAGTAGCGATTGGTGGGCCACCTTACAGGGTAAGCTCAACATAGGTGAAGCGTGGACTGCATTAAGTATTGGTGGAAATAGATTTTATCTCCAGCACAGGCAGATTAATGTTAAGTTAGTTATGATGAAAGAGTCCAAAATCAAACACTGGGACAGCAGTTAAAGTCGATTCAGGATAAACAAAGGCCAGGTCAGGCACACATCATAATCTCCACTGCATCAAACACAGCTATGGATGACATAATCAGAAGTGGCAGATAAGTTACAACTTGCATATACCCACATAAAGTCCTGACCTGTCATGAGACTTTCACATTTTTGGACCTCTCAAGAAAGCTTTGTAAGGGCAAAGATTCATGTCGGACAATGAGATGAAGAATAAGGTCAAAGAATTTTTTTAACACCAGCCACCAGAACTCTATGCGAGGGGCATTGATCTTTTCCTAAATAAACATGGAGATTTCTTTTAGATTTGCAATAAATATTTGCCAGTTCTGATGTGTCCACTTCTCATTTGGACAATCCTTATAAAATGGACCCTGGAAAGTAAAAATACTGTATATAATTACATAGAATTTTTTAAATTTACATTGTAATCTATTACTATTTTTTTAAAATTTTAGTTTTCCTTGAATCAAATAAAATACTTTATTTTCAAGCTTTTTTAAGCTGTATTTGATGTAGTAAACCAAAATTTTGTTACATACTGAAGATTAATATTTCCATTATAGCACAAGTTTAACTGACAAATATTAATTAGTTAAACCTAAAAAATGTTTATAGGATGATTAATTTTATATTAAGGAGTCAAAATTTAGTAAGCTGACTGGTTTGATAAATAATTCTTTGATAACTTTTGATCTAGCCAAATATTACTTGAATTTATGATTATTAGTTTCAGTAATCAGATATTAAAGTACAAATCAATGTCTTGATCTATCAAATTAAATATAAATTACTCCTATGTTTCTGAAAACTGATTTTAGCTTATATTGATGTAACTAGGGTCTGTAATATTTCATTTGCCATTGTCATAATAATACTGATGCTCAGAAGAATGACAAAATTTTTAACTTTGACAGTTCAGTACTTGTTTAGTAATCATTTGTTTATATTCATATGTATACTGTATTCACTCGCATGTAAGACGAGGTTTTTATTCATTTTTCACTACTTCAAAAATCTAGGTCATCCTATATGTACAAAAAGTAAGGATTTTTTGCATTTTTGCAATAATTTTTGTGAACTATGTAGTTCCATTTTTTACCAAATGCTCACCCTCTGGTGTTTGAAATGACCCAGATAAAATACTTTTTAATCATTCTTGTGTATTGTCAGGAGTAAAGATGAAAAGCAATAGGAAAAGCAAAGTTTTTGAATTGAATTCCAAATTGAAATTCCAAAATCACAAAGAAGCCTGATGTAAGGTTTAATCCATTCGCATGTAAAAATAGATGATTATTTGGAAATCAAAGTTCAGAGAAACTCATAAGTGTAATTGACGGAGAGTGGGTTCAACTGTTAAGAACTGCAAAAATAAAGTTCCCGATTGTCCAGCTTTATGCTGTCAATTTTACAAGATTTATCCTTAAAGTTTAAAATGCCAGTAATTTTTGTTTTGCTGGACAATGTGGGCATTTAAGTGCATTTGACATTTTATTTGTGATTAATTAAATGAAATAAAATTAGAACTGTATTAATAAATCTAATTTTCTTTATTTTGATCTTTAGTCACACCTCATCCTATATGCGAGATCAATTGTCTTATATGCGAGTAAATACAGTATGTAGGGTGGCTAAACCAGTGATCATTTAAGATGCTATCAGTATTATTTTGTATGGTTTTCCCAATTAATGAGACATACAACACTAAACAAAAATATAAATTCAAGTTATGTTTTTAGACTTTAATGAATAAATTGTTTAAGTGAAATGGTAACATGCAAAAATGATCAATCATATCTAACATTTTAATATGTTAAATAGTTTTATACTCAAAATTTATTTGAAAACATCATATTAAAAAAATCAAAATTTTAGAAACAAAATTATAAGTTCAAAAATGAATTAACATCTTGATTTAATGAATTAATACTTTGTGACACTCCTTGTGACAAATATGATCATGTATGTGACCAGACATTGAATCAATTAATGTAATCAACAGTTCATCTGGAATTTCATCTCAGCATTTTTGGATAGCTTGTTTCAAGTCTGCAACTGTTGAAAATTGCCTCCCATCTTTGTAAATGAACCTAACAAGAAGCCCCATAGATTCTCTATTTAATCCAGATGTTGGGAGCATGCAGATCATGATAAGATTTCAACATTTCTAGAAAACATTGTTCCATCATTTTTGAATTGTTGCAGGATGCATTATCCTGCTAAAAGATGAAATTTTCACCTCCAGGAATATGACCATACTAAGTTGATCATACAACACAGTGCAATGTGATTTAAATGCCAATCATCAGAAACACAGATGATATAAGTCTTTCCTTAGGCTGAAAATGCAGCCCAAACCATCACAGAGCCACCATCATTTGTTGAGTCATTTGCACATCATCTTAAATCATGCCAATACTTTTGATAACCATCAATTAAAGTTTTTCATCTGAAAATAGTATACTATACCACTGATGGGTCCAATTTATGATCTTTCTTGCCATATCCAAATGAGCATTTTATGTTTCTTTGTTAATGATGGTTTACTCATTAGTTTTGTGTATTTAAACATTTTGCTGAATTGTAAAACTCAAGAAATAGTCTGAGTTGAATGACAGAGGCCAGCAACACTTTTGATTTTACTTGCTAACAACTTAGATCGAGTTGCAAGTAAACAAATCTGTCTTTCGTCACAAGATGATAAACATCTTCCAGGACACTTTTTACTGGTTCTATTAATTCCACATTTCATAACATTAGCTACAATATACTGTATTCAGAACAGCTAATTGCAGTAAAAATTTCCATTTTGGGTTGTTCCACTTCACAAAGTCACAAAATTTGTCTAATTTCAGGTTCTGTGAGTTGGTATCCAAGTGGTATGTTTCTTGTTCTCTCAATAATTATTACAAGTAATGTAGCTCTTTGTATGCTATTTGTAAATGTTTGATATAACATCATTTATTAATATATACTTTCTCCCATAATTGTGCACAAAATTTATACTAAAAACTTATAATTTTGTCTACGTAAAATTGATTTTTTTAAAATATTTTGTTTTCAAATAATCTGAGAGAGTAAAACTACAGTTGACCCCCTATAACACTGTTGATAATTCTGTTTTATATAAATTCCATGTTGTACGAGTCACTTAGATTTTACAAATACGTGAGTCATTCACAGCCCGGCACATGTATTTGTAAAATCTAAGTGACTCGTACAACATGGAATTCATATAAAATGGAATTATCAACAGTATTATAGGGGGAACGACTGTATTTAACAATTGAGACCTCTTTTCAGCAAAACAATCTACTTTCAGCATAAATGCATTTTATAGTGTGAGACAAAAATATAAGTTCAAGTAATGTTATTAGAGTATAAATGAATAAATAGTTTAAATGAAATGATAACAAGAAAAATATTAAAATGATAAATATAATTGATTATGTTAAATAGTTTTATACTCTCAAATTATTTGAAAACAAAATACAGTGAAAACTGTTTAGGCGACCATTTGCATTCGACGGGCACCTGTCAAAAATTTCTGGCACGGAATAGTTTATGCATAGAGTCTTCGATAAGTTACCTATATTAAATGACCTGTTTAACGCGACCGCGGGCATCGATTTTTGGTCCGAAACAACATACAACTGTAATAAGCGATCACTTCCGCGAATATAGCTGGTCTAAAGTAATAAAAAACATGGCCGACGGTAATACAGTACATTTAATTTCATTACACTTAATTGTATAAATAAATATAAAGTTGCAACG